GCTTTTGTTCTGTTCAATGAGTAAGAGTGTCAGTATAATTATAAGTTGTGAGACTTTCCATCTTAATCCTCAGAGGTAACAATGCATCTCCAAGTCCGTAAGAGTGTGGTCTTTTCCAGTCGTGCCGACCCGTTCGTATAAAAATAATATAGCTTCAGCATGGCTCCAACACATATAAAACATTACATATGATTACAGTCTATTAAACTCCACTGATGAATATAGGCTTCCTCCATTGATGGATACCTCCCCTACCTCAGGGAGGAGGGAGATATTTGCCTTAGTTGTCATGCTTGACAAGCATTATGACTACCACCGTTTTTATTTTTATTTATTTATTTATGTAATATTCTTTATTGCACACCGTACAAAAATTACAGAGATTATACATACAAAACAAGTATGCAATGGGCGGTCTTATTGTTGACAGGAATTTCTTCCAGACAATTAATTATTAATTTATATAGTTAAACTGCTGCCCATCTCCTGATTCGTTTCCCCTGTCGCCTCTAACGACACCTACGTGATGGGGTAGTGGATATAACGCCGCCACCACACGGTATAGTTCATTTCAAATAGGATGGCAGGATTCCACTTGAGACTTAGCAATTACAGCTGTAATGTTAATCTATTGTTGTGTGATTATTTTATTGCTTTAACACTTGAAGTTAAGCATCTGTTGATAATACTGAACCAGTATAGCTGGAATGACGAATTTTGATACTTGAACATTAAAACAAATTAAATTGTAGATAAAAAACCTTTATTACTTTTAACTGAGCCCAATTGAGTTAATATGGAGTGAAATAAAAAAAATTGTCCGTAAGTCAAACGTTACGCCTACAATAGGGGAAAATGTAATACAAAGTGTACGAAACGTAATAAATTCTACTAATCCCATTTTTTGGAAGAATGTTGTGACCATGTCATAAGAGTGGAAAACGAATTTTCGAGGGATCGGATACAACCATTTATAATAAATACGTGTGAGGACGCAGATACCGATGAATGTTCTTCAGAGTGATTGATTAAACAAAATATTAACAAGTTGTTATAAGTATTTAAAATAGTTAAGTTAAAAGTAATAAAGGTTTTTTTATCTACAATTTAATTTGTTTTAATGTTCAAGTACCAAAATTCGTCATTCCAGCTATACTGGTTCAGTATTATCAACAGATGCTTAACTTCAAGTGTTAAAGCAATAAAATAATCACACAACAATAGATTAACATTACAGCTGTAATTGCTAAGTCTCAAGTGGAATCCTGCCATCCTATTTGAAATGAACTATAACTGATTATTACTAAAGAGAATTTAATCACTATGTACTTTTAAATTCTTACTTACATCTGACAGAATAAAACGTACAATATATAGGAACTCTTAAAAATTTAGTTGTCAATCTATTGATGTCTTTAAATGTACGAGATGGCTAATTTAAACAAATTTATTCGTTAAATTAAGTAGTCAGGTTGAATACATTTGCTCCTCAGTATATTTAAGATTTAAAAACTATATTTTTATTAACTTAAATATACTCACTACTAAATCTTTCACCTAATTGTAGATATTTTTCGATTTTTATTTTAATTTTTGTATTTTATATCACAGGGTAACACAGTCGTGGTACGCGACGGTGCAACGGGCGTTGATCAAAGACATCCAAGTCCTATTCACGTATGAGGAGGACCCCGCACATGGGGCAATGTTCGGGCTCTTTAATATGGAGCTCACTTCCATTAAGCCCAACTACGAGGCCATGATTAAGCAGGGACAGCTGAAAGTTACTGATATGGGGATTGCTACTGGTGAGTACAATAGCATCAACACATATCTTTATTCAAAATTGTAAGTCAAAATGTGATTTTTAGAGCTATGTTAGAATAAATGTGTAAAGGAAGTGTATGGCAGCTCGGTACTGCAGTGGCTAAGCTTTTGGTTGTAGCGCTGCGGGACCCGGGTTTGAATCCCGCAGGAAATTTATATTTGTTTAGATTGCAAAAAAGTTAAAAAACCTATATCTGCAAAGGTGTATTTTGTTTATGTACAATGCTTTTACTAATATTCTTAAAAATAAGAAAAAGTGACACACGGTATGCAAGGACTACTTAAAAATGTTTTTTCTTAACTAATAACTTGAGGTCATTATTATGACCTCAAGTTATTCGCCTCCATTATTATTATTATTATGGGGTATATATATATATATATATATATATATATATATAAATATATATATAAATATATATATATACACATATATATAGTTTTCTCATGTGGTTGGGTTCTATAAATATATAATTATAAATTGAAATAAAAAGATAAATATACATAAATATCAATAAAATAAGAAAAAAATACATAAATAAATAAAGATCCAACCAGATGGAAGCCCTCGGCAGGGGAGACCAGACGGCCGAGGGTTAGGAGGAAAGGGTAAGAAACCGGCGGACGATGTGGACGGTATCGAGGAGCACTGCCTTCTGCATTTGAGCCGGAGCGGTCCGTCACGGAGTCCCAGTCGCCTCAGATGACCCGAGAGGCTGACTGGGATTAGCCCATTCGCAGAGACGACTACAGGAATAATTTCGGCCGGCAGACCACCCCACATGTCAGTCACCTCGTGAGCCAGATCCAGATATTTTGTTCGCTTATCTGTTTCGGCTTTCACGAGGTTCTCGTCATACGGAATGGTAATGTCGACCAAAAATATCCTTGACTGTGCCCGGTCCATCACCGCAATATCAGGCTTATTCGCAAGAATAGTCCTGTCTGTGATGATGGCCCGGTCCCAGTAGAGCCTGGCACGGTCATTTTCGAGCACGGCTTCCGGCAAGTACTTGTAATACGGCACTTTCCGGTCCACGAGACCGTATTTCAGAGCGAGCTCCTGGTGTAGAATTCTGGCTACTAGGTTGTGTCTGTGCAAGTACTCAGAGTTAGAAAGCGCCGAATAACCGGAGATGACATGCCTAAGCGACTCACCGGGATGGCGACAAGCTCGACAGACGTCGACGGTGCCATCCCTTAGGATGTATCTCCGATAGTTGTTGGTGTTAATAACCGGATCCTGTATTGCACAGACAAAACCCTCGGTTTCCCCGAAGAGGTCACCGAAATGTAGCCAGTTGAGGGAGGCGACTGTATCTATGAAGGGCTCATGTAGAGCCCTGTAGTACCTCCCGTGGAGCTCCTTTTCCTTCCATACGGCCTCCCGGTCGGAAATGCTAAGCACTGCTGGGTCCTTCCATTGCTTGTTGGCTAAGGATAGAGGGGCAAGCCCTTTATCACTAGAAATGACGTCATTATAGAATGGATAATCCGATCTCGCCAGGAAGTAATGACGGAGGCTGCACACTTCACGATTATGCATGGTGAGCGCGCTCAGAAAGCCACGCCCACTATGCTTTCGCGGCAAGTACAGCCTCATTACCGACGATCTCGGATGATGCATCCTATGGGACGTCATGGTAGTGCAGACTTTTCTATCCAGGGCGTTAAGTTCAGTCTGAGTCCACCTGAATATGCCAAAGGTATAGGTATGCCTACATGAGGACGGGCATGACCCAACCGTTATATGCGTGTGTCTTATTCCCACCGGACAAAAGGCTATTAAACACTTTGGTCAAGCGTGCATAAAACACGTCGTAAAGTGACTGTTTCATATCAGCCTCATCGATACCGATGTTCTGTGACATACCCAGGTATCGGTATGTTTCAGCCTGGGAAAGGCTAACTCTGAGGGCATAGATAAATCTATGCCCTCAGAGTTAGCAACCCTTCCACTTTCAACATGGAGGACCGCACACTTGTCCGTCCCCAGCTCCATTCCAATCGAATTGCTAAATTCACAAGTGATGTTTAGCAATTCCATAAGATGGGAGCGACTAGAGGCGAATAACTTGAGGTCATATTATTATTATGACCTCAAGTTATTCGCCTCCATTATTATTATGGGGTATATATATATATATATATATATATATATATATATATATATATATATATATATATATAGTTTTCTCATGTGGTTGGGTTCTATAAATATATAATTATAAATTGAAATGAAAAGATACATAATAATAAAACAGTTGAGGGATGCGACTGTATCTACGAAGGGCTCATGTAGAGCCCTGTAGTACCTCCCGTGGAGCTCCTTCTCCAAGTGATGAGTGATGTTTAACAATTCCGTAGGATGGGAGCGACTGGAGGCGAATAACTTGAGGTCATCTATATAGAAAAGGTAGGTCACTTTCGTCTCTCCTTTCCGCGCGTGACATCACCTGATTTAGCTCCAGGTGATAAGTGATTCTCACGTTCAAAATGGATGTCAGTGTCTTATATACGGTGGGTAGACACGTAATGGGGCGGTATTTGCTCGGGTCTGTGGTAACCTGGTCTTTAGGAACCAAATGAGTGATCCCAGTAGTAAAGAGGCTAGGGAGCGACTTCTGGTTGAGAGCCTCTTGAAACCGACGGGCGAGCACAGCGTGACACACCATGAACCCCTTCAGCCAGTAGTGATGCAGCCCGTCGAGTCCCGGACTTTTCCAGTTCGGGGCTCTACGGACCGCCTCAGCTACGTCATCCGGCGTTATGATGACGGGGTCCATGGGCGTAATACTCGCACACTGAATCGCCACAACTTCCGTCCAAGGGCCCTCGCTGTGGTTTACGGGCTCTGACCACAGGCCTCGCCAAAATGCGACAGTGTTAGCCTGATCCGGTCCTATGCCCGCTCCACATACTTCTGGTCGCTCCAATGATTTATAGAGCCTCTTCTGATCACTGGAAGAGACAATTCTGGTTGAACCGCCTTGACCTCTCAGTAAATCGGCGAATCCGCTTCCCCCAAGCAGCGATCTTTTGCTTCAGGTCGTCTATGCGCTCCGTTAGTTTCTGCGTGATATCCGGCTGGGACAAACTGATATTTGTCCCAGCAAACGCCATTCTAACGGAGCGCACAACCCTTGGTCTATTATTACCCGACCTGAAGCTTGTCAGTCTGCCGATAAGTCCTCAATTCTTTTTCTCCAGGCTGGGATGGCGCTACTTTGTTTAGTAGCGCGTCCAGCCATGGGAAGTTTGGCGCCAATTATACGCCAAGCTGCTACTGCGGCGCCAAAAAGAACTGAGTCCGTCTCGCAAAGGTCCCGGCTGGCTTCCAAATAGGTTACCTGCATTGGGTTAAGAGCCCTCACGACAGCCCGATTTCGCTTGCTTAGGGGTATGCGGGGAAGTCGCGGTTGATTTTCGAGAGGCATGCTGCGCGTTTCCAAAATCGCCTCTTCCAATATACTCCTCATTTGCTCTAGTTCGTGGGAGACCATTTCATCATCGTTTGAATCAACCACAACTGGAGGATCCATGGCGGCTTCTACGCGTGGCAGCTGTTTGTCGCCTGAGGAGCCGCATCCCCAGCCGTAGCCAATTCATTCGATGAGGGAATAGCCTCACGTCGTAGTCGTTCGAGCTCGGTATCGTTAAATATTTTCGATATCATCAAATATGTACCGAACTCGGTCTGCCAGGTTTTGTTCCGTGACGGGAATAGACAGCTCCAGCTCAGCAAAAAAAGCAATGCATCCGAGCCCGATACGCTATCCCTGCAGTTTCTTCCCCTTTCGCCCGCAATGCGTTTGCGTTCACATCCCTTGTCCAACGCATGCGGCGCACTCCACCAGCGGCGGATGCCGCTTGCCGAGTCCAAGAGGACCCTGCCGACATCAAGCCGTCTGGTGGGGATGATGGATGCGGGAGGCTGCTAGGTGATCTTACAGCTCCTCGCGCTTGGCTGGCGACCCGCATGCTGCCGCGTCTAGCGCCAGCTCCAGACGTGCCCCGGCGACCCCCAGGCAGTGGCCCTATACGCTTTCTATTACAATCCATCATCCATTTTTGGGCGCCAATTAACGGGAGACGCCCAGGCCCGGCACCGTTTCATTGTATCATTGTACGGCCGTAAGCACAAACGGGCCTTTGCACCCTGAGTATTGCCGAGGCACGGCGCTCACACCTCTTGACAAGGCGCTGACTGACTGCACCGACGTAGCACTTTTGTCACTTAACTGTTTCGTCAGCGGGCGATGGGGTCGTCACTTCCCTACGCCGATTTATTATTTATCATATATTATTATCATACAGGTGACATTAACACGGTTATTAGTGTAATATTAAAATATTTTCCCACTATAACTTGAGCCCGGTATACACGGCAATGATAAAACTGTGCAAACGTTCGCACAGTTCATTTGCGCAGTTTATCGAACGTTGGTATTGCGTCCACACGTCTACTGTATCTGCGTCGATCGTCAGTTCTCGGCAGAAACTCAGAAGAAAAACAACACGTCATTCGTGATAAAAGACGATGAAGCGCTTGCGCTAGCCCGGCTGGTTTTGTGAAAAAAGAAAAGAAAAACACGTAGTGTGTGGTGTAAGGATTGGCTTCCTAAAAAAAAGTCATACTCTCACACAAAATTTATAAAAGAGTTGAAATTCCCCAAAATATTGGTACAATTATTTGACGATGAATGAAGAGACTTACTTACACCTCCTGTTTTTCGTTACACCGCTAATACAAAAAAGCAATACCGTGATGAGAGAAGCAATAAGTTCTCATGAAATATTGTCTGCAACTCTGAGGTTTTAGCTACAGGTCGCTCGTACAAATAGATGAAGTTTTCTACGTTGATATCAAAAGAGGCTCTCAGTCAAATCATTCCTGAAACGAACGAATTTGCGAACGAACTGAATGATTGGTCCGACTTCCGTACACACACTTCGATAAAACTGTGCAAACGCGATCGACAACGATTTATCGAATAGATTTTAAACTTTGCTCCGATGGCTTGCACCAACCAAAAAATCTGCGCCGATTTTTGTACACACGTTCGATAAAACTGTACAAATGATCTGCGCAGTCAGTTTGCAACGATAAATCGTTGTCGTGTGTACCGACCATTAGTCTAGCCCGTACACGAATACGTGTGCAAAATAAAACCGGTCAAATATATCAGGGTAAATTCCCGTTATAGGTATGCGAAGTTATGTTTTTGAAGATAATATATTACGTATAGATTAAGCACAAAGAAGCCGGACGGCAGACGCGTAACGAGCCGTCTGAATGGACACGTGCCAAGAATCGGGAAACTTTACATGCCTGTTTGGCAGTAAGTGTTGTATGTAGTAAGCAGTTTTGAAATTCGATAAATAAAGCCAAATAATAGTTGAATTTTTTTCATATTTTACTTTCCTTTTTCTTAAAATAAAAGTTACCTCTACACTAGGATTTTCTCTTGTATCGTAAAGGAAGTTTACACTTGTAAATTGTTTAAAAATATTGATGTGACACTCCGATTATATTCATAATCAACATTGTAGCTTTATAGCACGTATTAAAGATTAAATGCGTTTACTTCAACTGTAAATATTTTATCGATAAACGCTTAAAAGATAAACATTACGTTGGGGCGTAAAGTACATTTCACGAGATGTAATAATACAAAATAACAACTTTTGTTTATCAGACGTTTAGTTTTAATTTGATTTTTAAAATAAACGTTTCTAAAATTTTGTCCTGTATCGTAAAGTCACTTTACATACATAAATTTCACAAGGACATACATCCAAACCCGGAACAATTATTTTTGTAAGCTATACAAATACTTGTTCCACGTGGGGCCGTCAAGAATAGCTTAGTTTCTAGCATTCTTACCAGATACATTGAGGGTTCAGAGTTCGAATCCCAGCTAAGTCCACGTAACACCATACGTATTTGTTTGCGTTTGTTAGATACTTATACAAATAAGATATCTCCACTTTGGCTTTCGGTCTGTACGTTGATAGTTGTCTTTGGAACAAGCAGATCCAATAGGTAAGTTGCAAAATAACTTCAGCATTACGACCTCTTTATCGCCTGAAATTTTTTTCTTACAACCGCTACAAAAGTTTTTTTTACTTCTCCAATCCCTTATTCTACCGATAATAGACTATGTCGATGTGTGTTGCTCAGATTTATCTCTACAACATTTTAATACATTGGTTCGTCTCCTTAACAACTGCATCAGTTACATTTATTCTATATATCTTTTCGCACTCGAGCTTAACTGGGCTGCCTACCCATCAGCGCAGATATGTTAGAACTCGAAGCAAAGCTCAATTGGGAATGACTGGAATTAAAATAAATAATACTATTTGTAAGTACACGCCGAAAGACCGACAAAGGAAAGTTCGGCATCCTTTTATAAAATTAATGATTCTTCAGAAGATTAATAAAGTAGATGCGTTGCCAGATAGGTATAGTGTGCCTGCGTAAAAATGAAATGTAAATATGTAAATAAAATTATGTATATTATGTTCTTCTTGTGATTGAAATAATCTACGTTAATTAAATTAAATTTGCCTTCACTCGTTTGAAATTCAAAATTCAAATATGTTTTATTCCAGTAGGCATTAAAAATACACTTTTGAATAGTCATATAATCACTGTTTTCCCCAATTTTTTCTTTTCCATGTCCAGGGGTTCTAATTCTACTGAGAAGAATCATGGAAGAAAGTAAGAAACTCAGTAGTTGCTCTTTTCAAAATCTTTTTACAATAGTTCTATAATTATGTAAAGCGATAAGTCAAACATAAAATGTCAAATGTATATGTAGATACCAAATCGGTTTAGAAATTTCTAGTTAGTCCTGTGTAGTACGAGAGGTCAGTTCCAAGAATTTTTGTCTGACTTAAATTGAAAAGGTGAAAGATGTAACATTTCTTTTGGAATCTTATTATAAAAGCGTATATCACTACCCAAGAACGCATTATATATACTTTGTGTAACCGGAAAGCAGGTATTGTCATTTTATTTTTATTTCTACTACTAAAATTGTGCAAATCACTATTATTTACATAAATTCGATGCAATCAATTTCTTTAAACGGTTCTCTAAGAGATACTCGGGCTTCTAAAAAGTACGTAGATCTTATTTTACGCTTTTTATTTAATATGCACACTTTTTATATTATTCGATTAGCATTGTACAAAATGTTTACACCTTTCAAGTGTGTTAAAAGTGTATACAATATTTATCGAATGGGTGACGACATATTCGAACACTTTGTGTTCAAAAACACACACTTCCAAAAATCGAGATTTGCGGTGAACTTATTGAACATGTTTATCTATTAGGTAATAATAATAATAGTAAGTAATTATTATAAACCCATTTAGTTAATATTATAATAATTGCTTACTAGAATAATATTATGGTATCTACCTATCCTTACCATTATCTAATTACAATATTCTTTGCGAGATCACCGTAATGTATTCGTGTCCATTGTGAGCACCCGGAAACTTATTTTATTCTTTGGAACATGTACTCTGTGGCGGCATTCAAACAGTGTCAAATGTAGTGCGTGCGGCGCGGCGGCGACGATTGAATGCAATATCAATAGAAGCCGCCGACGCGTGTATCTTTACCTTGTACTTCCGAATAGCTGCAAAATTTCTTTGACAGGTCAGTATTCGACCTTTGATGATGCCGACAACAAGACGCCGCGCACTATCACAGTGCCGATATTCAATACTAGGGATGCACTGTTTTTTCTTTTAATGGGTATTTTCATCCACTATTTATGTTTATGGTATTGTTCGTAATGCGCATAAGTCCAATTTTCCAATTTTTTTTATATATATTTTTGCATCTCATAGAGTCCCTAAGCGTAAGACCGAACTCCTGTACTCCCTGAACCGACACTCATTCCTAACTGCAAGACGCAAGAGTCTCGCAGGCTTAGTCTTGTTCTTGCTCAAATCTTGCACGGTCAGTCTTGGTCTTGCTAAAATTAGGCGGTCTTGTTCTTGGTCTTGGTCTGCAAAAATGCAAGAACAAGACCAAGACTGCAAGACCAAGACCGATTTTGGGCAACACTAAAGGCTACAGATACGTTGTCACTTCTGATGTAAAGTAACAGCCTATATACGTCCCACTGCTGGGCAGAGGCCTCCTCTCATTTCTGAGATGGTTTTAGGGCAAGGAAGTTTCCGCGACGCCGCCTTGCCCAATGTGCGTGTTGGCGGACTTCACATGTCTTCGAAGTATACTTTTTATTTCTCAGACATGCAGGTTTCCTCACGATGTTTTCCTTTACCGCAGAGCACATGGTAAATCAGCACTTAAACTTGCCATGCCGTGTTAAATGTGCCGTGGTAGCTCAATGGGTTAGTGTTCGCTGTAAATTTCACAGTACGCGAGCAATCCGGGTTCGATCCCCGCCGGCAACAATGAATTTGTAATACCGGCAGTTGTAACAGTAGCAATAATTGCACCTCTGATGACTAAGATGAAATACCTTACAGTGTGGGTAGGTACCTATCCAGA